GAAGATGGGCACGGATGTTAGCCCAGGGCCAGTCTTCCTCAGCAAAAAGAGGAGGATTGGCAACAGATGTTAGCTCAGGGCTGGTCTTCCTCACACACACACACAAAAAGTGTATTATCATAAGCTGCTAAATTTGTGGGATTTGTTACACAGCAATAACTAATATACCTCAAAATGTCATTCCTGCTCTACTTAGAAATCATGCTTATTAGACCCTCTCTGGGTGTTGTTAATTGATGTTAATGAAGAAGCATGGCTATTCTATACACTCATTTTTATATGAATACTGAAAACTTTATTTCAATATACGGTCGATTCTTATGATTTGTGGTATATGTTCTAAAAAGTCGCTGTGAACACTGACTTAGTGAACACAGAGCCATCGTTCCTAAGGAAAATTGAGGGTCAGGTTCCTGTGAGCCTCTGGTCCCAACACTTTTGTCAGCCCACCAATAAACAACCTTATTTTATGTGTGTTTTCTGCTTAAAGACACCTTACTTAATAGATATTGTTCATTCATTCACAGTGAACTCTCGGCCAACAGCACTGTAACTCACACCTCAACAAAGCTCATCTAACACACATATTTTTTCCATAAGGCACATCGCAGCCTTCTTGTGCTTAGGAGTGCTAGCCAGCACTTCAGGACTGTGCTTGGGGCTGTGGTAACAGTGAAATCACCACAAAAAGCACAAAAATGTGAAAAACGTGGCACTAAATAGATTGCAAAAAGGACACCTGTTTATAGTATGATAGCTGAAACAAGAAGGCACGTGTTAAGGGGGGCCGGCCCAGCCCAGTGGTGTAGTGGTTAAGTTTGCACGCTCCGCTGCAGTGACCCGGGGTTCACAGGTTCAGATCCCAGGCGCAAACCTACACACCGCTCATCAAGCCATGCTGTAGCGGCGTCCCACGTGCAAAAAAATAGAGGAGGGTAGGCACGGATGTTAGCTCAAGGCCAATCTTCCTCAGCAAAAAAAAAAAAAAAAAAAATTGGAAGGCACGTGTCACCTTGCTCAACCTCAGCAGAGAATGTGCACATCAGGCGGGTCAAATCTTCTGCCACTCTGCCCACAAGAATGCCCACCAACAACCACTAAAGCACCAGGAGTATTCATTTGGGGATTACCAACAAATTTTCACGAGTAGGTGAATTCGCAAATACGGAATCTGCGAATAATGAGGATTGACTGTAATTGGTTTCTTTTGTAATCCTGTGCATTTCATTTTATGCATTTACAAACATAATTCTGTGAAGCAGGCTAGGCCCCTACCCGGTCTACAGATGGATGACAAGAAACCAGCAAAAAAAAGCTCAGAAAAACTGAGAGGAGAAAAAAGGAGAAGAGAGTGGTGTTCTGGAGGCCCCATGAAGGGAGACTGTAGCTTCCTTCTGGAACTAGCTGGAAAGACTCCAGACCACCAACACAGGATTAGCTGGAATAAATAATTCATGCAATAGGGAAAAAAATGTAATTAGTTGGAATCATCCTTACAGAGATCCTCAAATATGGTGTATATCCAGATGACAGGTGCTCTTGTAGGCGTTCCAAATAAATATTTCTAGAATAAATGAATTGGCTCTTTCCTCAATTTATAAACCAGAGAGATCTCTGAACCAAATCTCCTCTACTTAGAACTTTAGTTCTCAAGTGAAAGGATGATTAAATACTTGAAAAAGTTTTTAATATGAAAAAATTTTAAACAATTTCTTTTTGGCAAAAACAGGGAGAGCAGCCACCACCCCACAGCCCCGAGTGGAATAGGAAGGCTTGGGGAAAGCACACAGAGAGAGAGACATGAGGTCCAGTCTTGTAGCAGCTTCTCAGGGAGATCTCAGTCCAGGGGCAAGGTCAAGTCCACGGGTGAAACGGCCAGGATGCCCTCCTGGGGGGAAAAGTGGCAGAGCCTCGTGAGCAGAGAGGCGTCCTCCACTCACAGGGGCGTCTGCACCAGCCAGTGGGAGCAGAGACAGGGAAGGCAAGCAACCAGGGAGGGGAGGGGACAGAGACCCAGAGAGAGGGGGATGGAGACCCAGGGAGAGGGGGACAGGGACCCAGAGAGAAGGGGACAGGGACCCAGAGAAAGGGTGACAGAGACCCAGAGACAGGGGGACAGGGACCCAGAGACAGGGGGACAGGGACCCAGAGGTGGGTGGGGACAGAATCCTAGAGAGAGAGGGGACCAACAGAGCCCCAGAGTGGTGGGCAGAGCACCAGAGGAGCGTGGACACTAGATGGGGTGGACAGAGACAGGGCAGCAGAGAGAGGGAGACGAGTCCTGGGGTTTGGACGGTTAAGAGCCTGGGCTTTGTGTCCATGTGCTGATTGGAATCCCCTGCATGAGGGACTTACCTCTCAGCCTCCACAAGACGGGAATAATAACTAAATCCCATAAGGTTGCTGTGGGGTTTAAATGGGATCATCCCTGAAGCCCTGGGCTGAGCACGCGGCCAAGCTTACTGTTATCATTCCTTAATAAATAAAATGACTTTACAAATAAGCTTCTGCACTGAGCACCAGACACTTAAATCCACTGTGCCCTCATCATCTTGCTTTGAGGGCCGAAGGGCATCTCTCCCTTGACTGGACCACCTCCAACCATCCCTGACTCTCCCTAATCCACGGAGCTCTTCCCCACCCCAGGCAACATCACGTGAAGCCCCACAGCTGCTCAGGCCAGCATCCTTGGCGTCCGTCATCCTTGACTCTTCCTCTCAGTCCCCACATTCACTCCAGTAGCAAAATCTGTCAGCTCTACTTCCAGATTAAATCCAGAATCTTCCACTACCCCCACCCTGGTCTGATCCACCCTCTCCTCCCTGAGCAGCGCCAGTCACCTCCTCCGGGCTCCCTACTTCCGCCCTCTCCCTCTACAGTGTTCCCCACGCGGCCGCCAGAGGGCGCCCGTTGACACCTAAGTCTGCTCAGAGCTCAGAGCCCTCCCCTGGACTCCTGGCTCACTCAGGGTCCAAGTTCAAATTCTCACGTGACCGCACATCTGGCTGCCCCTCCTGCTCTCATCTCTCCTGCCTCTCCTCCTCGCTCACCTCGCTCCAGCCCTGCCAGCCCTCTCCTCTCTGCTCCTCAAACACCCCGGCCAGCTCCTGCCAAGTCTATGAAGCAATGGTTACATTCCATGAGCGTGACATGCGTCTTTCTCTCACTGAATCTCCACGGCAACCAGGCAGGTAAGTGAGATGGTGCCCATTAGGTGGGGGGAGACTGGTGGGTGCTCAGGAAGATGGGGACGGTTGCCAAGGTCGCACAGCCAGTACACAGCACTGAGCCCGGCAGTGGATTTAAAGCCATGAACGAGCAAGGGAAGACTGATTCCCTGGTCTTCTGAAGCCGGTATGTCAGGGACGGGAGAAGATAACACACAAAAAGAAATGATAAGTAACACAAGTCATTTCTGCCATGTGTTAGAAGGTGCGGAGTGTCATGGAAGAAAGTAAAGTAGCAAGGAGGGAAGGGAAATAGGTGGGAGAGTGGGGAGGTGGCTGCAGTCTTAAACGGGGACCAGAGAAGGCCTCACTGGGGGTGACAGAGTGGAGCAGAGGAAGCGAGACAAGGGGACACCCGGGCAAGGGTACTCAGCAGGCAGTGTTGGAGGGGCAGACAGTAGCCAGATAATCATATAAACAATTGCCCACAGAATGCCAAGTACTTAAAGGATGATCCCATTTTAACCACACAATAACAATTTGCGGTGGGTACTAGTACTCTCCCTACTTTACAGATGAGGAAACTGAGGCCCAGGGAACGGCTTCACTTGTCTCTGACTCACAGCTGTCAGTGTATACCAGAGCGGTTTAAACCAGGCTTAGAGTCTGCACTGATTACCGCAGCACCTGGTATACAGTAGGTGCTCAGTAAACACAGAATGGACGAATGGTAGGGCTGGGAGAACGTGTGATGTCTGAAAAGAAGCCACCTCCCCCATCTCACACACACAAATACATACAATTGGGTAAAGGGGACCCAGAGAGGCTTGCACAGCTCACCCAGCCCCCGTGGGCCTGGATCCAGGGCGCGAAGCTGTGCACGTGCTCCACGCTGAGTCCAGCTAGGGTGCCCCCCAACCTGGCCACGCGCCGGCTCAGCTCCATGGCCAGGGCCAGGCGGGCCAGGGGCTCCGGGGAAGGCGGCGGGGGCCCGGGGCACGGCGTCAAGGGGCGTGCGCGGCCGGGGCGAGGGTTGCCCTCGCGGCTGGAGAACAGCTCCACCAGGCGGGCGAAGGAGCCGGCGGAGAGGCGCGCCAGCTTTCCGCGCAGGGCGGGGTCCGAGGCCAGCTGTAGGGAGGAGGGGAAGAGGCAGGGTCCGCCTCAGGCACGCCCCCGTGGGCAGCCAATAGGAGGCTGGAGGGCGTGGCTTCCTGGCTCAAGCCTGTTCTAGATATGTACTAACACTGAGCCAAGCCCCTATCCATCACATCAGCCAATCACAAACCAGATTCGATGCTCTCTGCCCAACTACTCTCAGAAAGGTGGCCTAGAACCCAGAAGCTAAGCCACGCCCCTGCCGAGGCCTCGACAGCCAATGACGGCCAAGCTCTACTTTAGCAGCCTTCTAGAATGCTAATCTTCTAGACACCTTCTAGAAGCCCTGGTGGGCTTCCCTGAGAGCCCGGGAGGCCAGGCTGGTGTCTGCAACCTTGCCTTCCACCATATAATTAATATTATAGAACCATACACTTTGCCCAAGCCCTGAGCCAATCAAATTCCAGGAGAGAATCACAAGCCACACCCCTTCTGGCAGTCCATTTCCCCCACATTCTAAGACATACCCCATGACTGATATAGTCAAACAGGGCTTCAGATTTTAGACAGCCCTCTCCACCACCTCCCCCACCACCATACAGTTCCTTACTTCCTCAACTGGTTCCTAACTTTCCTAGATCATGTTTCTGGTGGCCACGCCCCCTGTGTTTAGGCCACGCCCCTCTAATGTTCAATGAAAGCCACTCATTTATGTCCTGGCCATACCTCTGTCACTCAACCCGTCATTGAAGCCTTGTCCCACCCTCTCCCCACCTGACTATCCAATGAGAATGCAGATCCAGCTTCTGATCCCAGCACCGAACCATCCCGTAATTGCTATCCCAGCTAAGGGATGGAACAGACCACCCATCACCTTCTGGTTGACGACTTCTGCCTCCTCCTCCAGCAGGGCCACCAGCCTCCGCAGCAGGGCTTCCTTCTCTGTGGGTGGAGGGCCCTGTAACTCTAGGGGGGCAAAAGAGAATTCGGCTGGGGGTAGAACCCTGGTGAACCTTCTACCCTCATCCTTCTCCAGGGCTCTTCTGTACTTCACCTGGGCTAGGTGGGGATCTCAGTTGCTCTTGGACTAGCTGTTCCAGCCGCTGGGCTACCAGGGCATAGAAGTCTGGAGTAGCTGGGCCTGGGGTGAAAAGAGCCAATGATGGGTCTCCAGGACATCAAGAAGTTATGGATTCTCTCCTTCTCCCAATCACCTTGCCAGGGAGCAAACTTCATCGTGTCCCCTAAACTGGACTTGGAACGTTAGAGCTGAACTGAACCTTAAAGATTATCCCATGCAAGGAAGGCAAACATATGGCACTCCAGCTATTACAACTCTATCCCTGCCCATTTCAGGCATAATCAACCGATCACAGACCTCTTCTCCCCAGCTTCGAAATCCTTGTCAAGCAAGCACTCCCAGTAGCCAGGCTCGCATATGAGAGGAAACTTGTTGGTCACTCTTGATCAAGTCCAGTGAGCCCCCATTCCGACTTTGCTACTGGAGACACACAGGAGCAGGGAAGAAAAGGATCTTCCCAAAGTCATGTAACCAAACAGCCAGGGAGTTGTGATTGAAAACCAGGTCTCCTGCCTCCCTACTGGGGGTACTGGTGGCTACAAAAGTCCTAAAGGCAGGGACGCATGTTTGGAAGGAGAGAGACAACAAATAGAAAGCAACCAAAGCCTTCCTGGAGACAGCTCACGGAACTGACAGAGAGCAGTTTAACTGGGGACGAGGGGGCGCACAGAAAGATGAGAGTAGGTGCTGGAGACCCCACACAGCCACCCTCTTAGCTGAGTGATCTTGAACTAGTTCCTTATCCTGTCTCTGCTTGAAGAATCAAAGCTAGTTCATGGGTCACCTAGGGAATCTCTTACCAGGCTCTGAACCATAGCAGGGGTGGAGGGGCAAGGAGCAAGGCCGCGGGGACTCGGGGGGAACTGCTGCTCGCCCCAGGGAGCAGGGAAGACATCTTCGAAGGCGGCTCAGGAAGTCTGTCGGCTCCTGCTGGGCAGGGATCCTGGGGAAGGGGACCTCAGAGGATGAGCCCAGAGGCCCCTCGCACGCAGTCCCGGTTTCCTCCCACTAAGGGCCTCTCCCTGCAACCCCAGGGTCAAGGAATAGAGCCAGATATAAGGAGAGGGGACAGGAGGCAGACTGAGACCAGAAGCAAGAGTTAGAGAGGGCCCCACCCCAAATACAGGCCCCTGAGGGAGGAGAGCAACTCCCCTTACCTGGGCGGAGTTGGACCAAGGGGCCCGGCAGCCTCACCTCGCCTAAGGAAGGCAGCTAGGACCCTCAGCGTGTCCTCCCGGAGCCCCAGCTCTTCCGAGCCTGCCATGGGGGCACCTGTGAGAGAGGGGGGCTGGAGGATGAACTCTAGGGTTCAGCGGGAAGAGGAGGCTTGGAGCTCAAATTCCTAGTCCCTAAATGAGGAGGGGACCAGGACTCGTGAGTCCCCAAGAGAAGAAGGGGGTGAGCGTCTAGACTCCTAGGCCCTTTAGGGGAATTGGGGTCTGGGGGCCAGACTCTTGAGTCCCCAGAGGGAGAAGAGGGATGAGGACGAAGACTCCTTGATCCTGGGAGAGGAGGAGGCTGGGACTCGGATTCTTGGGACTAAGGGCGGAGGGGGCTGGGGGCCTGGACTCTTGAGTTTTCGGAGAAGGGTGCTAGGGACCTGAACTTCTGAGTCTGAGAGAGAAGGGGATTGGGGCCTCAGACCCCTGGGTCCCCGAGGGAGAAGGAGGCTTGGGGCTCCGACTTCTGGATTCTCAAGCCATACGCCAAGTTACTCAAGCCCTTAGAGGATCGGGAACTACCAATCCCAGCAGGCTTCATGGCAAACACTCCCCTCGGTCCGCACTAGTTCGCCGCCCAGCCTGCTGGGACGTGTAGTTCCACTATCTGGCTCAGGCTGGAATCCCGAGGAACCGGGACGCCTGCATGTCGGAGAAGCGGGACTGGCGTGCCCGCTCCTGGATCCCAGCCCCTTCCTCTTCCCTCCTCTCCCTAGCCCTCGCTAATGTCCGGCTTACCTGGTCCCGGGCCCCGCCGCCGCCGCCTCTTCCACCACTTGTATAAACTTTTCTTTATTAGTGCCACTTTCCCGCGCCTGCGCACTGGGTCGCGTTGGTGGCGGCCCAAACGCGGAAGGGGCGGAGCGCTGGGTACCTCCTAATTTGCATGTGACGTTCCCAGCGTGCCGGTGGCCCGAAGGCCTAAAAAGGGCATGGGGGGAACTTCCCGGCTCATGGGGCTGCCCCTTTGGCTCTGGCATCTTTCACCCGAATGACAATAAAGTTGTTTTTATTTCAAGAAATCGATAGAAAAGAAAGCCCCACCGCTCTAAAGCTCAGCTGACGGGAAGTGGAGTGTGCAGCTGGAGTTCGAGAGTTACCGAAGCCCAAAGTTGGCGGTAGGTCCTAGCCTCCTGCACGCCCCAACCTTCTACGTCGGTAACACGGAAAAGCCGGGGAGTGGGTGGCGCCCGGGAGTGAAGAACCCGAGGAAGGATGGGCCTGCCCTGATAGTGGCGAGAGGGGCTGTGTGTACTGATAGTGGAAAGGAAAGCAGGGAAAGAAAAAAGTGAAGCGATGGCCAGCGCTGGAGGTCGGCTGTAAAAAAAACTTAGAAAAAGTAGCGGGGGGGGGGAGGTGTCGCGGGGGGGGGTGTCTACACTGGGGGATCTAGGGGAGAGAAGGGTGGAATCTGCTAATGGGAGGCCACTCGAACGTCGGGGCCTCCCCTGGAGGAGGGAGGCTATCTAGTTGGGGGGAATTGTGGATGGAGGGTCTACGGTGGAAATGGGTGAGTGGAAGGAGTTTACACTAGAATAAGTGCGAGAGGTAGAGGTCTACACTTGAGTAGCGCCTGCACTGAAATAACTGGAGGGAAGGCTCTACCTGGGAAGTGGGGGTCCCTGGGGGTCCCTGCATTGGGAGATGTAGGGGAGGGATCGATTTACAATGGAAGAGCGAAGCGTCTACACTGGCCGAATTGAGCTTGGGGAACGGAGGGGGGTCTAAAATGGATTTGGAAAAGAGTTCTCCTTGAGTTGGGGAACCTCTATGGAGGATGGGAGGAGAAAGTCTCCTGTTTGTACCCCGGGAAAATAGAGGTGCGGGACCTGCGCCGTGGCCCCGTGAGAGGGAGGTCTGAGTGCGGCACTTATGGGCCGGGTGGGCCTGGGAGGCGGCCCGCGCCCAGGAACTGCCCTCTGCGCGCAGGCTGGACCATGGGAACCCAAAAGCCGCGGATCCTGCCCTGGCTGGTGTCGCAGCTAGACCAGGGAAAGCTGGAGGGCGTGGCCTGGCTGGACGAGAACCGCACGCGCTTCCGCATCCCTTGGAAGCACGGCTTGCGACAAGATGCCCAGCAGAAGGACTTCGGCATCTTCCAGGTGCGTGCGCGCCGGCACACAGGAAACTTGGAGCTGCGCCCTGGCGCGGTGAACTCCGAGGGGGCGGCCCGAGAGGGCGGGGTTAGCACTCGGGGGGCGGGCCCGTGCGAATGCGGGCCGGTGGAGGTGGGTGGAGTTAGAACGGGAGGGGACGGGGTTGTAGGATTGGCGGGCAGAGTGGGGCGGCCAGGTTCCGGGAGTAGAACTGGGAAAGCGAGGTTAGAACGTGAAGGAAATGCATCCTGGGGGTTCAGGGCTCGCTGGGGGCGGGGCTCTTGGTTGTAGAATGAGGAGGGGGCGGGTTTTGGAACATGAGAGGCCAAACTCTGCCTGGAAGCTGAGGTTATCTCCAAATTAGGATACACCTGTAATGGTAAACCGAGTTAGAGCGCGAGGGGGCAGGGTTATTACTGAGGATGTCCTGGGGCAAGTTGGTGGCAGAGTTAGACACCCAGAAGGACCTAGAAGCCCAGCTTAGAAAGCAAAGGTTTGGGTCCCGGTGGCGTTGTGGTTAAGTTCCCGCGCTCCATTTCCGTGGCCCCGGGGTCGCAGGTTCAGATCCTGGGTGCGCACCGATGCACCGCTTGTCAAGCCATGCTGTGGCGGCCTCCCATATATAGAGGAAGATAGGCACAGATGTTAGCCCGGGGCCAATCTTCCTCAGCAAAAAAAAAAGAGGATTGGCAACAGATGTTAGCTCAGGGCTAATCTTCCTCACCACAAGAAAAAAAAAAAGTGCAAAGGTTTCTGAAACCTGGAGGTAGGAGGACTTGGGGCACAAAGAATCCAAGTTTGGGGATGGAACCTTGCCAAGTTAGCGGGCGGTCTCAGGAGGAGAGGAGGCAGGGATAGGACGCCTGGGGCGACGTCTAAATCATCCTCCCCACTATCCTGGTGCCTCTGGTCCCCCAGGCCTGGGCCGAGGCCAGCCGTGCCTACACTCCTGGGAAGGATAAGCCCGACCTGCCGACCTGGAAGAGGAATTTCCGGTCCGCCTTGAACCGGAAGGAAGTGTTGCGTTTAGTCGACGACCGGAGCAAGGACCCCCACGACCCGCACAAGGTCTATGAGTTTGTGAGCCCAGGTGTGCTGGAAGCGGGGCTCTGCATGGAGGGATGGGATTTCAGGAGTCTCTGGCACCCCTAGTGTGCTCACCACCTTTCTCGACAGCATTTAGGGACCTTCCTGAGCCGGACGCCTCTCCAGACACTGATGGCCGATGGAGTACCTCTGATACCCCTGTAAGAATGCGCCCCAACCCTCCTGCCCTCAGTCTCTGCCCCAACCCCTCTCGGCGTCCCTACGGGCCTGTTCAGGCCTCCTCTTCTCCCCTGGACCATCACCCCAGCCTCCATTCTCTCCCCTGCAGTCTGTCGCCCACCAGACCCAGAGCTGACACTGTCTCTCCCCTGCTCACAGCCGTCCCATGGCTTCCCAGCGTCTTCAGGAGAAAATTCAAGAGTTTTCACCAGGCATTCAAGGCCCTAACACACCTTTCCAGGATTTCATAGCTTCCTTCGCTGTGCAGGGTACCCTCAGCCTCTTGGGAATTTACCTCCTTATCCTTGATCTTGCCAGTGTCTGTGCCGGAGGGTCCCCTCTGAAATTCTGCCCAGCGTTCTCTGCCCAGGTCGTGCTTGCATGGAGCCAGGTCCTTGGGCTGGAACTGGCTGCTCACCTCTGGCCAGCACAGCGCCCAGCATATATCCAAGCAAATATTTTGCCATCTATGCCCATGGCTGTCTCTCCCCCAGACCGGAAGCCCCTTGAGGGCAAAGTTACTTCTCTGGGTTCCCACATTACTGAGCACAGGCCTGGTCCATGTGAAGTCTCCAGAAAAGGCTGTGGAAATGCCCAGATCCCCTTTTTTTTTTTTTTGTGAGGAAGATTGGCCCTGAGCTAACATCTGTTGCCTATCCTCCTCTTTTCTTGCTGAGGAAGACTGGCCCTGGGCTAACAGCCGTGCCCATCTTCCTCTACTTTATATGGGACGCCGCCACAGGGTGGCTTGATGAGCGGTGCATAGGTCCACGCCCGGGATCCAAACCCGCGAACCCTGGGCCACCAGAAGCGGAGCATGCAAACTTAACCACTATGTTACCAGGCCGGCCCCTGGGATCCTTTCGTTTTTTCTCTCCAGGAAGACATTGTGGAGGAGTTGCTGAGTGACATGACCTTAGCCCCAGTCCCAGATGAGGGACCCTCAAGCCTGGCTATGGCCCCTGAGCACCCCCCTCAGCTCTTGCTGAACCCCAACTTAGACATTCTTGCTCCATGCCCAAACTCGGAACCCCCTGAAAACCCACTGAGGCAGCTGCTGGTGGCCGAGGAAGGTGCGTGCCAGCTGTGGGTGGGAGGGGCTGGGGCAGCGGGCCCCCCTTACACTCTCTCAATCTCTCTTCCCCTTCACATCGCTGCTGCCGCCGCTGCTCAGCGTGGGAGTTCGAGGTGACCGCCTTCTACCGGGGCCGCCAGGTCTTCCAGCAGACTGTCTTCTGCCCAGGGGTCCTGCGGCTGGTGGCGTCAGAAGCAGTGGACGGGACACTGCCTGGGCAGCCAATAAGACTGCCAGACCCCCAGGCGTACCTGACAGATGGGGGTGCCAGGACCTTTGTGAGGCGTGTACTGAGCAGCCTGGGCGGGGGGCTGGCTCTGTGGAGGGCAGGGCAGCAGCTCTGGGCCCAGAGGCTGGGGCACTGCCACGCACACTGGGCCATGGGCGAGGAGCTCCTTCCCAGTTGTCACAGGTCCGAAGGCGAGGTCCCCAAGGACCACGAAGGAAGTGTGTTCGACCTGGGGCCCTTCGTGGCAGGTAAGTGAGGAGGAGCCTTAGCTCTGCTGTGCAAAGAGTGGACCGTGGTGGTTAAGAACTCTGGGGTCAGGAGGTTGGGGATTGGATTCAGACCCTACTGCTCTGCCTGCGGTTTAACCTAGGGCAAAGGTCTGACTGCTCTGAGCCTGTCAGGTCTGAACACGGTCTCCTCTCTCCCTGAAAACCTGCTCTGAGCTGGTGGGAGACACACGGCTCAGGGTACAGAGGTGCACAGGGACCTAGCTGCCATAGTCGAAGTCATAATTACCAGTTATTCTGGTGGGTAGACAGACAGGAGAGAGAAGTCCTTTATGGCTTTGCTGTCCAATAGAACTTTCGGCAATGCTGGCAGTGCTCTGTATTTGCACTGTCCAGTATGGTGTCCCCTAGCCACATGCGGCTGTTGACTACTTAGATGAGGTGAGTTAAAAGTGAGGAAGTAAGTTTTAAGTCTTACTTGATTTTATTTATTTATTTATTTATTTGTGAGGAAGATCAGCCCTGAGCTAACATCTGTTGCCAATCCTCCTCTTTTTTTGCTGAGGAAGACTGGCCCTGGGCTAACATCCGTGCCCATCTTCCTCCACTTCATGTGGGACGCCGCCACAGCATGGCCTGACAAGCGGTGTGACGGTGCAGGCCCGGGATCCGATCCCCGGGCTGCCGAAGCGGAGCGTGTGCACTTAACCGCTACGCCACCAGGCCGGCCCCAAGTCTTACTTGACTTTAATTAGTTATCATTTAAATTTAAACAGCCACGGTGGCTCATGGCTACAGAGCGGACAGCGGGGCCTTAGAGGGTGCAAGGTGGTAACTGCCACCCACCTTGTACTCCAGAATCATGGAGCATCCTTGGGGGAGTTGACTCCCCTTCCTGGGCCCGTTTCCCCATCCCAAATGCTGAGGCTTTGGTGGGGTGGAGCATCCTTGGGGGAGTTGACTCCCCTTCCCGGGCCCGTTTCCCCATCCCAAATGCTGAGGCTTTGGGGGCGTGGGGGTGAGGGGGCAGATCTTCTAGCCCCACCCCGATGGGAGGGAGGGAAGAGGAACATTTAACTTTGTGCCAGAACTGCAGGCACTTTCCCCAAATCAGCAGCCCCTTGGTCGTGGTGGTAGAGGTATGTCGGGCTTTAGGTCAGGGGAGAAGGTGAGGGTGTTAGTCAGGTTGGGGGGGAGGGGCAGGCAGAGGGTCTTCTTCCCATCCTTGACTAGGCTCCTGGGCCCCCCAGATCTGATTGCCTTCATTGGAGGAAGTGGACGCTCGCCACGCTACACCCTCTGGTTCTGCATGGGGGAGTCCTGGCCCCAGGATGAACCGTGGACCAAGAGGCTGGTGATGGTCAAGGTGCTGCAGCTCTGGGCTCCAGGAGCTGAGGGGTGGATCTCACAATGGGGAGGAGGCTGTTCCCAGGAACTACAACTCCCAGAAGCCCCTGTAGAAACTGCAACTTGCAAGAGTCTCTGTAACCACCAGTTCCTCATCCCCAGAAGCTTCTGGGTGTCCCTCCCATGGCTTCACCCCCACCATCCTGTTTTGAGCTCTTGAAACCATGGGGAAGTCAGTGACTACAAGTCCTAGCAGCCTCTGTGAGGAACTACAGCTCCCAGGAGTCCTTCTGACCACACTGCTCAGCCCTAGCTCCTGGGAACCTCCCAGCAGCCTCAGCCCTAGGAACCTTCTTTGGCCTCCTATGGGTGTGAATATGGGAAAAACTACCACTTCCAGCAGCCCTGGGACTAATGGTTCATCCTGGGCTACAGTGGGGCTGCTGGGAGTTGTAGTGCATTTCCCCCCACCCCCCACCAACAGTGGACTCTATTGGGTGTTTCCCCTGACTTGTGTTCCTCCCCTGCCTCCTGCAGGTTGTTCCCACGTGCCTCAGGGCCCTGCTAGAAATGGCGCGGATAGGGGGTGCCTCCTCAATGGAGAACACTGTGGACCTGCACATTTCTAACAGCCACCCACTCTCCCTCACCTCGGACCAGTACAAAGCCTACCTCCAGGACCTGGTCGAGGACATGGATCTCTAGGTCACTGGGGAAGCCTGAGCCCTTGCTCCTCCTGGGTGCAGGCCCCTCACCCCAACCTCAACCAATAAACTGGCTCTTGCCACGATCACCACTTGTGTGTCTGGTGTTAAGTGTCCCCAGGCCAGCCCTGACCCAAGGTGGGCGTTATTCCTTCTGAGTGCCTCAGTTTACCCATCTGTGCAGGCCACTCCCAACCCAGGTGCTCACTGCATGAGGGCCAGGCACTGTGCAGTGGGCAGCTGACACCTTGCCTCTTATCAGGGACCTGGTGACGAGATGACAGTCAACCCCATTTTACAGACCAAGACACGGCTTGGAGGGGAGCAAAGGTCACCAAGTAGGAAACACAAGACAGGTCAGAATCCAGGTCTGACTCCAGGGTGGCTGCTCTCCGAGGGAGGCCCCGGGACTGAATCTGGAACCCTCATCTCGCCTAGAAACAGTTTGGGCCAATGTCCAGTGAGCAGAGAGCCTTTCTCCTGGATCATCCTGTTTGTCCGGGACCTTGGGTCCCCTCCCACCTCCTGCTGGGTGATGTCAGGCAAGTCCTCCTCCTGGCATGGGCTCTCCTCTGCCTGGGGCTGGAACGGGCAGTTGTAAAGGAGCTCTGCACCGCGCCCTGGAGCCCGGCCACCAGCACCTCCCTCACCGTGCCTGGGTTCTGGGGAATGGGGACCGAGGGAGGCCAGCACAGCCCTGACTCACCGTGTGGCCCTTGCTGCTCTATGCCTCAGTTTCCCTCTCCATCTCAGGAGAGTGGGTTAGAGCACCCCAGCCTCACAGGACTGGGACAAAGGGAATCCAACTCAATGGGAAACAAAGATCCAGTTTCTGGGGCAATTCCAAGGCAAACAAATAGCACCCAGGTGCCCTGACCTCTGGGCTCAGAAGACAGTGACCAGGGGGGCCTGGGACCCCACCTCCCATCACCACTGCTTCCTGTCAGCAGCTCACCGCGTACCGGGTGTGGTGCTAAGTGCTTCCCTGCCTGGCTCTGTCTGGATCCTCACAAGGCCCACTTTATACATGAGGAGCCAACCGAGGCCCAGAGAGGGGCATGCACCGGCCCCGAGTCACACAGTCTGGTCTCCCTGCTAACCACCCTCAGACTTGGGCCAAGCCCCCTGCGTGTCCCTCCCCAACCCTTTCCCAAACAGGTCTCTGAAAAGAAAGGGCTAAAATCATGGGGCTTGGGGAGTAACATTTCATGAAATCTTTAATGAAACTGGGGGAGGGGCACGAACAGAGAGGAGGGGCGACGGGGACAGGCTCGGGGACAATGGAGCTGGGCACGGGCCGGGCAGGGCAGGGGGCTCTCCTCTTCCCGGCAGCAACCTTCCCCCATCACCCCACTGACGGGGGAGGGAAGTGGGGAGGCGGAGCCATAAATACGTCCAGAATTCCCAAGAGGCGCAGGAGGGGAGGGGTGGCTGGGGGTCTCAGAGAGGGGGCAGGGGCAGGCCCGGGCCACCCTTGTCCGTGGGCCCCGGCTCCTTGGGCGGCCGGGGGGGCCCCGGGGGGTCCCCTGGCTTGCGGCCGTGCTTGCGGAAGTAGCGGTAGCGCTGGACGTAGGCCCGCACCAGGTTGCTCACCTTGACCGGGTTGATCTCCCCACTTTTGCTGTGGCAGATCTGGGGAGCGAGGGGCAGCTGCAGTCACCGCCGGGCCCCCGGGGGCCCCCCGGGACTGCTGAGCGCAGCGGGGACTCGGATGGGAGTGGCGCCCCCGACGCCAGCAGAACAGGCCCAGGTGCGCGTGAGGAAATCCTGTCACCCTCACCTTCCAGACTGACCCCCCGCCCGTCTCCCCACGTGCGGACAGCTGCCTGCACACGCGCGTCTCTCCATCGCGTCCTCCCCCGCCTCTGTGCGTCTGTCCCCCGGGCCCCACCTTGTGGACAGCCTTCCTCAGGATGTCCTTGTACTCCTCCTTGGTGATGTCCTTCTTCTGATAGTACGGCTTGATGGCCAGCTTGACCTCCTCCACCGCCCGCTCCTGCGTGTGCAGCTTCTTCAGATACTGGCGGCGGTGGTGACAGGGTGGGAAGGGGAGACAGCAGAGGCCAGATGAGTTCCTGCGGGACCCTCGGCCTCCTTGACCATCCAGCTGCTCCTGGACATGGAAGTCCTGCCTACGGTCTGCCCTGTGCTCCCTCGCTACAGTCACCCTGGACTACAGGCCAGGCCCGGGCCTCTGAATGTCACTGAGCATCTCCTCTAGCTGGACCCTGGGCCGTCCCAGGCGGCCACGACAAGGACACGTGGCCCCTGCCCTGACAAAGTTCACGGTCTGGTGGGGAGACAGACATTAGCCAAACAATTAGGACTGTCTTAATCCGACTACGCGGCTCGTTCTGATCGCAGCAGCAAAGCGTGGCCAGGCTGTTCAGCGGGGGAGGGATAAGTCTCAGAGGGGGTTTTTATGACACTGCCCTGACTCCTGAGTGGACGGCAGGGCCGAGGGGCACTGGGGGCTGAGACTGGCTAGGAGCACAGGACAGGGGGTGGGACTTGAGCCCTGGGCGGCTGGCAGGTTCAGAGTTCAGGTTGCAGTCTGCCACTCCAAGGCTGGGAGGAGGGACTGAACCCTTGAGCAGCTTGCTTGTAAAATGGGAAGCAATGAGGCAACACACATGGTGGCCACAGCAAGGAGCCAATCCAGTGCAGCTGTGGCTGTTCTGAGGGTGATGGCGGTGGGGAGCAGAGGAGGGGACGGGACACAGAGCAGCAGGGAGACCCCCAAGCCTGCTGGGGTAGAAGAGCTGCACCCCTGGCTCAGGTCAGATCTTCATGAAAGTGGAGCCCTAGGAACTCTCCAGAGGGAGACCAAACCCCGACCAGAGCCGGCCATCTGTCGTGGACTCCCCGCAAACACAGGGGATGGTCCCCCTGAGAATTAACCCAGGAGGTCACTCTCCCAAGCCAGGCAACTGCTCCCTACTGCCCCAGGGCTGGAGGAAGATGGGAGCAGTAAAGTGAGGCCTGGCAAGGGCCCGACACCCCAGACTTCAGGGCCGATACCTCGGACAAGATGACAACAAGAATGCAAACTGTCGGATGAGCTACGGAGGAGCTAGGAGAGCCACAGGCCACCTGCAGGGCACCCTCCGGCCTCCCCAGCCCGACAGGAAGTGGGTTTCTAAACACACGTGGCTGGGGCCGGCCCCGTGGCGTAGCAGTTAAGTGCGCGCACTCTGCTGCTGGCGGCCCGGGTTTGGATCCCGGGCGTGCACCGAGGCACCGCTTGTCAGGCCATGCTGTGGCGGTATCCTATATAAAGTGGAGGAAGATGGGCACGGATGTTAGCCCAGGGCCAGTCTTCCTCAGCAAAAAGAGGAGGATCGGCATGGGTGTTCGCTCAGGGCCGATCTTCCTCCCAAAAAAAAAAAAAACCTCACTTAAAAAAATAAAGAGGAGTAGCCAAGAGAAGGGAGCTGTTCCCCACCTCCATCTCAGATGTGGCAAGGGAGGGCAATGGTGGGAGAACAGACTAGCACAGCCTCCCTGGCAGAGCAAGGGACCCGCTGCTGGTCACAGGGTCCGTACTGCCCCTGTCCTGCAGCCCATGGCACATGGTCACAGACAAGTGACCATCCGAGCTGGGCCCCCACATGGGGTTTCTTCTGCTCTCCCCCTGGCACCGCACATGAGATGTGTAAGCGGTGGGCAGCACCAACATCTGGCGAGAGCCTGCTGGACCATAACGAAAAGCATCCAGACACAACAAAAAGGAAACAGCCCCGAGGCCCAGGAGTAGGAGCCAACGTAGCTGGATAAAAACCTGTTTGTGTCTGCCCAGCACCCATTCCTCCTCCCTTGGTCTAGGAACAGATGCTCGATTTTTCTTCTGTAAACCACCCTCCCCCTTACATAAAAAGATGGGAAGAGAGAGAGGGAGAGAGGAAGATAGATAGATATTGGTAACCAAGGGGTAGACTGTAGTGGGTACGTGTGTAAGGAAGAAGGTGTTATATCTGGATTTCTCTCTATATATACATATATATGCACATATACTTTTTTGAAAATCTGCCCAGCACCCATTCCCCATTCATTCATCTGAGAGAGAGTTCAGCTCCTTAAAATTTAACAACTTCAGTTCTATCTAAGTTCCCACCTGCTGGCATCAGTCTCTGCCATTCTCCTTGGGCCCCTGCATCTCAGTATCTGTTCCTGTTCTCTGCACAACTGTCACCATCAGCCCACCTCTCACAAGCCTAGCTCACCTTGTCTGTGTCCCCACGTCCCTCGGAGCTGCTGCTGCCCTCTCTCTTGTCAGACGCTGCAGCCAGCCCAGTGGGGGTGGGAGGGGTAGAGCCACAGCCCCCCAGAGGGAGGCTGCCAGGGAGCAGGTAGCTGGAAGGGCCAGGGGGCAGACCCAGAGAGGTGGGCACAGGAGCTGGGGTCACCCCCAGACTGGAGGGTGGCTTCCTGTGGCTGAGGATCTGTGGGAAGAGGTTGGAGGGAGGATGAACAAAGGGAGGTGGAAGGGAAGAGAGAGCATGTAGCCCTCTTATTCCCACCCTGAGTTCCCAACAGTCCCAGGGGCAACAGGCTCCTCTTCGGGCCAATACCTTGCCCCAAGGCCTGCTGGGAGTTGTAGTTCCTCTCCTAACCCGAGGCAGGGGACAAGAGAAAGGGCTGTGGGGACTCTGCCCCAGGGGAGCTCACCTGGTTGGTGGCCTGGATCAGCTCCTGGGCCTTTGCTCGGCTCGCCAGGTTGGCTTCTTCCATCTTGAAGAGAAGTGCAGTCACTGTGGGAGGTGGAGAGGTGACGACAGGGAGATCGGCAGCGGACACGAGAGGCGACGGTGAACCTCACCTCGCCACCTGCCGCCCTCTCCCTCCCTGGGCCTCTGGACGGGCCATGAGGGCTCAGGTTCAGAACTGGGCAAAGGGGCCTCGGCCACTGAACCACCCCACACTCCACATGTTCTTGGGACTCAAGGTGTGTCGGGGGGACATGGCCGGGGCACTCAGTGACGAGGTGGTGGCAGAAGTGGGATTCTGTCTCCTGAGCCCCCTGTGGCCCATCCTAGCCTCTCGCCACCTCTGTGGTCTGGCAAAGGCTACTGCCATCCCCTAAGGGACACCACTCTCTGCTGACCCCATCCTTTCCGGTCCTTCCATCAAGCCTATCCTGGTCCACCTCTATGAGGACCCCCAAGACACATCCCACTTCTCCAGTCTGTGCTGAGCGGGCCACCCCCTGGTCCCATCTGCCCTGCTCTCTTCCATTGCCCCAAACATCTAGAAGCCTCCCGGACAGACCCTGACCAGCCCTCACCCACCTGCAGCCCTCCCAGCCTGGGTTACTATACACCCACCATTTCCAAGGCATCCCCACCGCCTCCAAGTGTGTCTCCATATGACCTCGCCTTCCCCCATCCTTTCTGTCTGCCCCAGCCTGCCCTGGCCTCCCCCCGACCACCCCACCCCGCCCCTGGGGACACTCACAGGCCAGGACGCCACTGGTGGTGCAGTCCACACCAGCAGGCAGGTTCCAGGGCATGGGCGGGGGCAGTGTGGGCAGCTGGGAGACGCGGGTGGCCGGCCCGTCCTCGGCCCCCGAGTCGCCGGCTGTGGACCCGGCGCTGGGGGCAGCGCTTGGGGCGGCTGCAGCCGTGCTGGTGGCCGTGGTGGTAGCAGGCTGCTGCTCCTCCTCCTCCTCCTCTTCCTCCTCCTCCTCCTCTTCTTCCTCCTCCTCCTCCTCTGCCCCACCTCGGACCCGAGGCTCCTCCGTGGCCTCTTCAGGCAGGAAGGAGACCTCAGGTGTCTTACAGCTGCTATCCACGGTCTGTGAGTCCGGCGTGAGAGCAGGGGGTGGAGGGGCTACCTTGGGGGGCGGGGTGCTGGGGGCCTTGGCTGCCCGCTCCTCCCCGGACCAGGAAGTCTCCTCGGCCCCCTTGGCTCCCGCCGCCTGGCTGCAGCTATCGGCCTTGGACTTCTTGAGCGTCACCGGGCCCCCGCTGCCCCCGCTGCCGCCCCCGCTGCGGATCTTCTTCCTGGTCTTGGATGGCTTGGTCTTTCCCTTGGTCCCCTTGGCTTTCTTGGCCCCAGCCTTGGCCTTGACCTTGGTCTTTTTGGGCTTCGTGCTGCCCGGAGCTGCTCTGGCCACTTCAGCAGGGGCGCGCTCATCGGGCTTGAGGAAGGGGGAGCGGCTCTCGCGGTCGCGGCTGAACTTGACTCCGATGGAGCCCAGGCCGGCGGACGCGGCCTCCTTGGCCGGCGTGGTGCTGCTGACGCCCTCGCGGATCAGCACGGCCACCTTGGACTGCAGCTTCACCTTCCGGGAGGAGGAGGACGATGACGAGGACGAGGAGCCCGAGCCGCTGCTGACCGCCGGCTTCGGCGGGGGCCCTGAGGAGGCGGCCGACTCCTTGGGCGGCCGGGCCTTCTTGGATGACCTGTCCCTGTCCCTGTCTCTGTCCCTGTCCCGCTCCCCTCCATCCAGCGCCTTCCGCCGCGAGCCCTTCTCCCGGGAGGAAGACGAGGCGGCGGCGGCCCCGGAGCGGCGCCGGTCCTTCTCGCCGCTCTTGCCGCCCCGCTCCTCGGCGCTCAGTCCCTCCGAGTCATACAGGACCTCGCGCTTGGGCGACGAGGCGGGGGCCGGGGAGGCGCCTCGCGGGTCGCACTTGTCCGGCCGGCCCACGGTGATGGTCCGCTTGATGGCAAAGAGGTCGTGGTCCGTGAGGTCCTGGATGGAGGGCGGCACGGCCCCGCGGCGGCGGCTGTCCC